GACGACAACCAGCGCTTGAGAAACAGGAGAACGACTAAACCACAGTCAAATATTTAGCCGTAAACGTTCCAACAAGTACGTAAATCAGTGATCAGTACGACTGCTAAACTTGAAAGGCCTACGAATTAACACTATTCATATTGTTATTTTTCTTCCTTTTTGTCTTCATTATTCAACAGTATGATTTTAACTACAGTGGAGATGACTAAAATGGATAGAAACCTGCTGTCGGGTATACTTTACTGATATTAACAGAGTTAGACAGCAAAATGATAGAAGCGAGGCAGATGGGGCATAAACGAACTTTCAGTTAATCAACGAATTGTGAAAAACTAATGCAAATGGAGTATTCGTCGACCAAACTTTAAGGAATTCATCAAAAGACCGGTCTAAGACAAACTGCTCAGCCCTGTAGTGATGAAGCAAGGTTAATTGCAACTGCTGCCGTTATCAATAGTGTTTTTCTTCTGGTAGTGCTGATGTTACTTTTTGCTAACAAAGCTAAGAACTTAGTGACAACAGCAGGCTCCATTGTACTTGCAACGGAGGTGAATGCGTAAGTCAACATGAAATCATCTGGTTTCAGAAATGAAGGTGGAAGTTCAGAAATGAAAGGGGACGCCAACCCCCCAGGCAGTGGCAATTAGCCAAAAAGGCAGTAGTCATCAGCTGCATCAGTAGCTATTCTCGTTGCTTGCTCGGCTAGGTACTATGGACAGTGACTGGTGTGTTATTGGTGGTATTTGACGCGTTGATTGTGCAACTGGTATTCTGGTTATCTGTTTGTAATGATCCATGCCCATATCTCTGTTCAGATAAATCTTTAACAGTTATCAATATGTAGTTTATTGCACACATATTGGTGCTGACATCTGTTCTCTTTCTTCTCCGGTGGCTTCAATGTTTATTCATTTGAACGATTTTATTTTGGTCTATCTTGTTTGGTGTTCTTTTTTTCCGATGTTGCGTTTGTTGAGCAAACCGTTTGGAGCTTTAAAGAAGAAGTGTTGATGACTTGAAATGAAAATAAGTTTAGTAGGAATTTTTTTTTTTTTTTTGAGAGGGAGAGGAAGAAAGTGTGTGTTGTTTCAAAACGTCTGGTTAGCATTCATCTTTTCAGCAAATCCAATTCGCAAGTTGTTGTTGCTGGTTTTTTTGCTCCAAATTTTTATGTCCTCGAAGTGTTGCTCATTGATCTCGTCATCATCATCATCGTTCTTATTTCTCAACTTTTGGCTTTATGCTGATTCACCCTTGAGTATCTACTGTGGCGTTTTTGTGATTTCCGCTTTCAAACAATATTTGTTTTGGAAAAGCTACTTTATTGACCTGTTTAGTCTCAGCTAACGGTTACTCATCTGTTGTAGGTTCACGCGGCTCTGGTACCTTTTGTTTCTTCTTTTCTGGCATAAGTAATAGTAAATAGATATATTGCACTTTTCCGCTATAGTTTTTATGTTTACTTATGGTTGTACAAATTTCTCTTTACAGTTGTTCCCACGAAACTTGTGAGGTTTCCAGACCACAACGTGCTTCTTTTTTCGCAATCTTGTTATTGTAGGTTTGTAGGGTCTTTTCACATTAAATTGGTTTGGTGTTAAGAATGATTTTTGTAGTTACTCTTCACGGTGTTCTTCATGCAATAAAAAAACCGTTGTTGTTGTTGGTACTGGACCAGTTTTACGCTATAAGACATGTAATTATCTCATTACAATTTTAGGACTTAACTTTTATCCCTAAAGACTTCGTTGATTTTTTATCTGTCTAACTGAATGGCCTGTAAGAAAGGTATGCATCCCCGCAATCCTTACAGAGACAAACCTCCGGATTTTACTACTCTGGCTAAAAAACACGCGGAATTTCGATCTCACTGTTACATTGCTCCAAATGGAAAGGTATTAGTCAGCTTCAAGGTGGTCTGGGGAGAGACTGAATGCTGTATTTTACTGAAAGCGGACCCGTAATTTCTGTACATTATAGGCGTTTAAGCAGAGTTTGATTTAGAATGAAAAATTTTAACCGCATTCTTGATCTTCATTAGCACATACAGTTTATTTCATTTGCTGCTTGGTAGCCAGCGTAGTGATTGTAGTTGTTTCCGATCTTCAGTAAGTGTCTGAACAAATTTATAGACTTCTGTTTATATTACTTTTAGTTACTCCTAAATTTTCGGGATTCTGATGCTGTGCGAGCTTTGGCGAAGATATTGCTGCTGGAAGATTTTGGCTTGAATGTTGAATTGCCGTCTGACTGCCTTGTTCCACGCGTTCCTCAGCGTCTAAACTATATTCTCTTTATTGATGATTTGATTAAGATGAATAATTTAAAAGATGATATTTTTGGAATTGATATTGGTTTGTTCTGATGCTTTTTTCTTTGCTTATGGTTGTCGCTGACTTTATCTTTTGCGTAAGAAATTATGGAAAGCTTGTTTCAGGTACTGGTGCATCGTGTATATATGCTTTATTGGGAGCCAAAAGTTTTAAATGGCATTTTGTTGCTACAGAAACAGATGCTATATCAGTTGAGGTTCTTATTTTGCTGTTTTTCTTTTGTTTTAAAAAAATTTTGCTTCATTTGCTGTGCTTTAAAACAAATATTTATTGTTTCCGATGCCATTGCAATACGAAGTTATTTCATGGACTTGGTCAGTTCTGATCAGTTTCAGGTTGCTTCTAACAACGTATTAAGGAACGGTTTAGAGGATTATATTGAAGTTGTACGGGTCGAAAAAGATCGTATGATTAAAGTGAGTTTGTGGAAAACTTTTTAGAAGCACTTTTTCCTATGTTTCAAAGCATCTCTTGGTTTTGTTATTGTAAAATCAGTTTTAGGATATTGTTCGAGATCATCCTACTGCACACTTTACTTTTTGTATGTGCAATCCTCCCTTTTATGAACAAGAAGAATCTGAACAAGTAGAGTATTTTAAAGTTATATAGTACTTTTACTTCTCGGGAGTAGACTTTCCCATGACGTTAAAATCTGCTTTTTGGGTTTTATAATTCTGTGATTTAGAAATTCACGTACATAAATGGGAAAGTGATGTCTAATAAGAATAATTCGGAAAGCAGGAGGTCGGCACCGCACTCTGCAACTGTGGCTAAAATTAATGAATTATCCGTTTACGTGGGTTCATAGTGCTGTAAATGATAACCTTCGTAACAGGAGTTTGTATTCTGGTTTATGCTTTCTATGCATAGTACGTTTCTTAAGCTGAGAATTTTCTAAAATGTACTAATTTTTTAGGGTGGTGAAGTTGCTTTTGTTGGAAGATTGATAGAAGATAGCCTTGTACTGCAAAAGTCAGTAACGTGAGTCTTTTTTGAGAATTTTGCCTATATCGAAGCTGTTTTGAGCATTTTATTTTTTTTGTTTTCGATTTAGCTGATGTTATGCTAAACCAGTTTTTTGGTGTTTTTGATTTTGTGTTGCGCTGTTTTTCTGCTTTTCCTAATACTTATTTTTCTTAACTTTTGAATTCTATGTGTTTCTTATCTGCTTCCTCAAGTTTATTTCTTTTGTGTAACTTTTTTAGGTTTTACACGTCAATGATAGGTAAAAAGTCTAGCTTGTCAGTGCTAAAAAAAAAACTGCGGCGATGTTCGAATGTTCGTTTTGGAGTGGAAACGCTTAGTCAGGGGAAGACGCAGCGTTGGGTTTTAGTGTGGACTTTTCATCCCGACTTGAAACTTTCTACTGTGTGTTTTTAATTTGATGTAATTGGAGAAAAAAAAGAAAACTTTCATCATTTTTGAAATATACTGTGGCTTTTTGGCAGAACTTTTAATTTACGGTTTTACATTTCCTACGTAAAAACCAGTGAATAACTGCTAAACCGCAGATGAAGAAGATCGATTCTTTTTTCAATAAATGTATTTTATTTGATTGGTATTATCTGTACATGCTTATCAGTAGGGTATAGGGAATGTTTGCAGATGAAAGAGAATTTGATGAAGTGTCACATAATTGCTAGCTTTTTAGATTGTAAAGGATTGCGCTCCTTTGGAAATTCCACTTCCAAAGTTTTTCACGAAGGGAGGCCATTTATCCGCATGGATGAAACAAGTGTTGAGCCATATCGATGTAATTATTTATTCTTTTTCTTGTTGATATGATATTTTCAGAAGAAAAATTATGTTGAACAAATGCTCATATCAGATTAATGAAATGGATCCGTTTCACTTTTAGGTCAAAACTTGCTGCTTTTTTCCAGATAAACTTTGAAGAAATAGATAATGGGAGGTTACAGTGTGAAGCTATTAGGAACACATGGTCGCAGCAGAGGCAAAAAAAACGAGTATTTATGTCGTCTATGCAGGCCAACGATTGTGATCCGGAACCGAAGCGGCTACGACTGTCTAAGCTTGATGTAGGGGTGAGTGTAACTATGGGAGTTGGAGATGGAAGGGATAGTTTCGCAGATGTGGGGAATTTTAATGAATGCTTGTCAAGGCGATGTGCCAGTTCTTGTGAGAGAAGGGATGTTTCTGTACAGGTAATTTTTTTTAGAACTTTATTTAGCATCAATTTGATTCTTCAAACTTTTAATTTTTAATAACATTTTTGTGAAAACAGAAATCATTGTATGCGTCAGGTTTTTTTGCGTACAAGTCGTAATAATTTTATAATTGGGCCATATTAGAAACGCTTTTGTTACTGTTATTAATAGGGTTCTTGATATTACTTTTTTTCTATTTATTCTACTCATAGAAATTATCACAAAAATTTAGTGGGTTATCACGTATTGAGCACCGTAAGTTTAAGGCTTATGTTCCTTCTGTGGCTGATATTCATTCGGCAGTTCGTTTCCGAATAGATTGGCCTGACAATTGCAGCGTTCTTATGCTGAAGTGGATTGATGGATCTCGGCAGGCTTTGCATCAAATTAGTCAATACATTAGGAACCAGCTACAGAAAATTAATAAGAATTTGGTTGGCTATTAGAGTAGGAAATTTGGCGAAACTGTGTCTCTTTTTAAATGTTCACATCGGGTATGATTAGTCTTAGTTATTTTGTTCTTCTGGGCTCTTTAATGCTCGGAAGATATTATGTAAAGGAACTAAACATTTTCTGTGATATTTGAGTAAAACAGATCGGTGTACATTTTTGCGATTTCCTCTGAATCTTTAGCTTTGACATTTGGCGAATTCTTCTAAATTTATATTTTTGACTATAATAACACTTAAAGTGCTGTTTACGATTACTAGTTAAAATTCTTACGGATTATTAATGCCAATGTAGTTTTGCTTTTACTAGGTCCTGATAAGTATCTTAACAATAGTCTCGCAGTTGTAAATATATTTTATTGTTCATTTGGTGCTTGTTTTGTCTCTTAGTATTGACTAATATTCTAAAACATTGTTTATTCGTATGCGGGTAATTTTTTCTAATTATACATTTTTTTCTAGGAATATATCTAGTCAGGCAATCAAAAGTAAGCTTCTGCTGGTCAAATTTGGCTACTCAGCCAAGTTTTTTTTGGTGCGTTCTAAACATTTATTAAATTTTTTTTGCTTGTGCTGTGCACAAGTAATTTTCTACTTTTATTTTCATTATTTTATTTTATTTTTTTGTTTTTTATTTTTTATTTTTCTGAAGATTTGGGGTAGATGTTAACATAAGTTGACTTGATTCATAAGTACGGTTTATGTATTTTGTAAAGTTTGTTTAATTTGTTTCGGAGAAATAAGATTTTTATAACAGTTATCTGTTGTTAGAATGATTGATTTTTGAAATATATGATTGATGGTTGAGATAACAAAGGTGTGTTGTTAGTTTAAAAGGGAGTATTTGGTGTATGCCGGTTTTATACTTCTTACTAGAGAAATTACTGTGACGTGGAAAAAAGTGATTTCCTGTTTTGTTTTTCATTTACTTATTTTGGTTTTTTTTTTGGTGACAATGGTCCAAATTAATGTTGCGTCATCATCAGTAGTTGATAACAAAAGTTCCCGAGTTTCGAGGTAGACATTAGGATACATTTGGAGCCACCAGTTCCTAGCGTTGGTTTGGGAAAGATCAGATCAAGTCAACTCTGTAAAGCTGATCTTTTTTTTGTGCATTGGCACCTAAACCTACAGCTACTGTTATGATTTAAAAGTACAATAACACTACTGTTACGACGGTGTTGGTGTTCAATGACACTGTTATTCAATTCTTTTGCTTTAGGATCAACTTTTAGCAGTAAATTTTCAGTCATTTTTAGAACAGTCGGCCAAAAAGAAAAAAAAAACCTGAGGATTGGTAGTGGTAGTAAATTGTTTGCTGAACACAAAAGTGCATCAGTAATTGACACGAGTTGGTATTGCAAAGTAGATATAACGTTTGTTTTTTGAGGATTCGTAGTTGAAGAGGACTTTTAACCGACTTACTTTTCAATAAAAAAAATTTTTTTTTGATAGTTCAGGAAATATTGATGCATTTACTGGTTGTTTTTGTTATGGTTGGTGATAATGGTGGATTTTTAACGGCAGGTAGCTTTCATGAATAATTTAAAGAAATATACCAAACAAGAGCGAAAAAGACGAGCAGTGTTTAAAGATTTCAGCGCGAAAAAAAAGTGAAAAAACGCTGATTTTACTGAGGTTTGATTCCAAGAAGAAAAAAATTTTTTTAAGAATACGTTCGTCAGAAAGAACAAACTTTTTCAGAATTTGGACAGATTTATTGCTAACAATTACGAAATAGAAGCAAAAAAGCTTTTTTTTTTCAACAAATTTTTAATGTAACATTGGAACAGTTTTCATTATTGTCTTTTTTTTTTTTTTTTTTTTTTTTTTTTTTTT